CAAAAAAACAATCTGACGCATTATCACAAGAAGCAGTGGATTCCCATCCATGTAGCAGCTATGCTCTGGATTTATTGATTGGTGATTTAATTTTTCTAGCAAAAAATTAGCTCAGTAGGTTTAAGTATTTCCTACCAACCTTGTGGACTGGATACTTTAATATAATTGATTCTTTGAGTACATGGCAACAAATCAGCAAAAAATAGATTTTAACACAACTGACTTTTTATGGTCCAAATCTTGTGACAATGCAGAAACTTTGCAACGTGCTTTAAAATTTCAAACTAATAAATGGAGAAAGGGTAAAAAGAACCAGAAAAAGTAACTCGATTCGATGGTATATTTTGCTATGATTAACAGTGTTTAACTTGCTTACCTTGCTTCTTTTTTAGGAAAACTAAGAGTTCTCTAGTGATTTTGCATCTAGAAAGTTGCTCATAAGGCAATCAGTGAGCATGAGTAATCTGTTAAACATAATAATCGTCTTTTCGTTTTCTTTTGTTTAAATCTCTATCTTTATGAATGTGAATTCCACAACTTTGAGACAATCAGTTATTACAATAAAAATATAATATAATATATTTTTAAAGATAATAATATAATAAAGATAAAATAAAATTTAACTTTTTTTTAATTATAATTTCATTTTTTTATTATTAAATAGAAATTTAAGTAAATTTTTTATTTTATTGCAATCAAAAGTATACAAAAAATAATTTTTGTTAACTATAAACAATTTTGTTTTCTGTTAAACAACAAACAAACAACAAGTTGCTGTTATTAAGTTGCTGTTATCATATTACTGTTATCATATTGGAGAAAGGTCTTTTTTAACTTTAAAAAGGGTGAAGAATTGCTACAGTTTTACATTTTTACATGAAATCAGCGTAAAAAGGTATTATCTATCATTTTGCTGATTTAAAAGCTGAGGCAAGATATCTAAATAGTCTATCTTAATAATGTAACCTAGATGAAAACTATGTAATCTTTAGAAATGTTTTGCTTTACCTACTATATTGTTGTAAATATATCCAAAATACAAAGATCTGATTGTCCTTTGCTTATTCTTTGAATAAACTTATTATTTGTTTGTAAAAAAGTAACACTTTTAATATTTAAAAATTAAATAATCCATAAAAAGCCATAGGAAAAAACAGTGTTAAAGTACTAATATATATTTTGGGACAGATGAAGAGAAGAATAATGAATAAAAGATAAGATAAATAGCCTGACTCGCAGAACTCCACTGCGAGTCAGGATATTTGTCAGTCGATGTATGTACTGAAGCCCCCAGCAGCAGGCTTTTTCAGTATGACATTACACTGCACACCTAAATCAGCAGTATAAGATATATATATATATATATATATATATATATATATACATATATATATATACATATATATATATATATATATATATATATATATATATATATATATATATATATATATATATATATATATATATATATATATATATATATATATATATATATATATATATATATATATTATCAGGAAGCTTTCTGATAAACCTACTGATGGTGAAACAACTTATTGAAGAAAATTAGATGTGTTTTTACTAATTTACTTTTGCTCTGTTTCTTAACAACATTGAGCACTCTATTTGTAGAATACACTAGCATAATTTATATATATTTTTTTATTAATTCACCTCCTCAAAGCTGAGAAGACCACTACAGATAAGGAGGCTACTAACTGTGGTTATAACCCTCCCTCAACTCTACAACTCGGATGGATGGAAATCCACTGCTTCTTGTGATAATGCGTCAGATTGTTTTTTCGCCAAGTTTTGTTGTCAACTTTGGTGAGGACATTTTTGTAACAAAATTTTGGTTTGTAATTCTTTTTAAATTTGCCACTTTTTTTTCTTTCTCTTAAACCTTGAAGAACAAGGCCACTGCACAGAGAAAAAAGTTAAGCACAGTACTACCAGGGACATTGTGAGGGTTGAACTCGGAACCTCTTGCTTATTAAGGATCACAATTATGCCTATTTATTTAGTTTTTAGAATGGTCAAAAAATGCAAAAAAATGTCTATACTCAGAAGCGTTGGGGAAAGTGATAATAAAAAATTTTGAACTGATTTTTTTTTATAATACAAGTATGGATCTATATTTTCAAATAAAAAGGGTAGTTAAGGCAGAATAAAACTGCTTTTTTTTTGTGCAGTCAAGTGTAAAAACCTGAAAAAAGTGAACTTTTTAGATTAAATACTTAGCAATATATTTATAAAATAATATATAGTAAATTTATTTAAATACTTTATTTGAATAAAGTAATTAAGTAACCTAATAGAAGTTTTTTAGCTGAAAGAATAAATTTTTTAAATAAATTAACAAATTTAAAGTTTATGGTTTCTTTGAATTTATCTTTTTTTTTTTTAAAAACAAATGTACTTTTTTTTTTAAAAAAAAAAGTACATTTGTTTTTATACATTTATGTAGGTTTATGATGAACAATAAAGAATATAAAAACAGTGATGAAGAAATAGATCTTAGGTCAAGAAAAAAGTTTTTTTTTTTCTCATTGGAGATGCTAAACCAGCATTATCAGGTAATTTATTACTTTACTCAAATAAATTGCTATATACTCTTATTTGTATACACATGTACTTTATATATCAAATGATAATGCTATAGTTTGATCACTATCATTATACTGCAAAGTGCATAAAGGATTTATATATAAGCAGCTATTAAACATTACTAATATTTTTTGGACTACATTTAATATTATAACAGTTTAAACAATTTTCAACTCTATACAAAAAGAAATGATAACTTGGATAAGAAACTAATAATATGGTTTTTTTCTCTAATTAAATCATTTATTAGTGAAATGAAAAAATAATCATTAAATTTTAAATTTATTCATATAATGAATAAATCAACATAATTTCATAAATTTCAAATTATTTTTAGCTCAGAAAATGAGTCCATTAACTTTTTTTTAGACTAATTTAAAACTTTTTCCAATTTTTTAATTGTAAACCTGGATTTATGAACAGATCGCAATCTGTTCTGAGTTTCCTCTTTTTTATTTTATTTTTTCACAAACTACTGCATCATTCCCACTGCTCTTTCAACAGGGTTGTTTACAACAACTGTGATTTAGCAAAATCTTTGATGATTTTAATGCTTTATTATGTGTACAAATATTGAAGTAGAAGGGTAAGTGAGTCTCTATCCTTTTTCTTATCCAACCCTATTCTATCAAATAGCAAATATGAAAGTTGATCAAGAAAGTGGCACGATTGTAGAATTGAGATTTCAGGTATGTTTATAAAATAATTTTATTACTGCTTTGATTGCATCTGGTTTGGCACAAACATCTTTGTATAGATGCATTTTATGTATTGATAAAATATTCAGGTATAGGGCTTTAATGGCCTTGTCAGATTGCAAACAGCATTTTGATTAAAAACATTCTATAAATTCTGTTATGATATTTATTTCTTCTAAAAGTAGTTTATCTTCCTGAACAAATTTAATCTAATTTGAATGGCGTTGTAATTTGAGAGAATATAATGCTTTTCCAAGGAACCATGCATGATGGAGAGTTCCTGGTTTCCTCCATTTTTACAACTCCAAAAGACAAATAAGCAACAACTAGCTCAGCAAGTTCTTTTCTATTACCTCTTAAAACTTTTTCACTTTTGATCTATTTATTGCAGAAATAAAGAGACTCAATTGCTGAGCACTCAATAATAGTTTCTTTTGTCTTATTCCAAACGATTTTTTGTCATCACTAGTTCCAGTATCTTTGAGTTTTTTAAAAAAAAGGATTGCCTGGTCTAGAAGTCTTGATTTGTGTCACAACATTCCAAAAAGGAAACAATCTTCAGCTCTGATACATGGTGTATATAAGCTAGAAACAAAAGAATGATATCTAGATCATATTATAGTCCTCAAAAAAATTCATCACACCTAAAATTTTCACTAACAAACACTACAATAGCAACACTACCAATATAAACATCTTTAGGAATTGTTTATGTATTTTATAAAATTTATTTATTTTCTTCTTGTCCAGTCCCCATGTTCAAAGTCTGAATCATTCAGTATTATTTTTATCTAAATTTATTTTCTGTTCTAAATTTGCTTTATTATTCAGAGGATTGTGTTTTTTTTTGATAATTTTCTTTCTAATATTTATTTTAACTTTTTTTTTTGCATAGAATTAAAAATTCTTTAAACTCTTAGAATATTAAATGTAAAAAAAATCATTAACAATGTTTAATAATTTAAGTGCATAAATCCTTTATGCACTTTGCAGTATTTGAAAATAATATTGATAAAACTATAGCATTATCATTAGATATATAAAGTACATGTATATACAAATAAGAGTATACAGCAATTTATTTGAGCAAAATAGTAAATTACCTGATAATGCTGGATTAAATCCTCCAATGAAAAAAAATAACCTTTTCTTGACCTTAAATCTATTTCTTCATCGCTGTTTTTAATTTCTTCATTGTTAATCATAAACATACATAAATGTATAAAAACAAATATACCTTTTTTTTTAAAAAAAAAAGAAAAAAAAATTAATTCAAACGAACAATAAAGTTTAAATTCATAAATTTCTCTAAAATTTTTTTCCTTTCTCTTTAAAACTTTCATTAGGTTAAAAAGTATTTAATGGTAAAGCACCTTCTATTAGGTTACTTTAGTACTTCTATTAGGTTACTTTAGTACTTTATTCAATTTTTTTATAGCATAAAGTAAAATTGGTGTTATGACATAAGTATTATAAAATTTTAGTATTATACTATTCTAATAATTTAAGCTAAGAATTTCACTATTTTTACACTTTTAGTTCAAAAAACTTTACCACACAAAAAGCAGTAAAATCAATTTTACTCTGCCTTAATCAGTTTTACTACCTTTTTTATTTGAAAATATAGATCCATACCTTACCATTGTATTATTATTGTAACTTATAAAATTTGTAATAATTTAAATGATATACTTCTGGGATGTATTATCTTTGTGATAGGTAGTTGAAATCTCATGTCCCAACATACCAACGCTCCATCACTAGTTCCACAAGTTATCCAACATTGAAGAGGATCAATAACATAGCTTGTAATCAAACCTTCAAGAGAAATTTATAAAATTAAAAATATTTAAATTTATAAACAAATCTTTTGTAACAATTCCTATACTATGCTTAAAACAGTGTTTATTTTTAAGCACACACCTGATTGTTAAACACTTATAAATAACAATCAGATTACTTATTACTTGTGCACCAATCAAATCACTTGTGCATTTAAGTTTAAATATTGAAATCATATAATGTTAAAAGCTACTTATAGGGTAATAAAAATAAATAACACAAAAAAATAGTTAACGTTTAATTAAAAAAATAGTAGTAATGTTTATTAATAGTATAAAATCAATAATAACTTTTTAAAAATTAAATTATATATACAAAGCAATTTGTAGCTCAATAAATCATTATACCTAATGTTAGATCATTTTTAAGTTTCCACGCATATTTATCTTTTGGCAGACGCAAATCCCAACCACACATGTAACCATGGACAGTAGCATATGTAATAATCCACTGACTACCTAGAAACATCAAACAACTTTAAAATGCAAAACTAAGTTATGAGAGTAAAAAACATAATAAAGAGATTATGTTAAGAATAATGTTATAACTAGTTAGTACTCTAAAAGGGAAAACTAAAAATTCGAGGAATTATTTCTATTATGTTTACTTTTTTAAAAAAATTCTTACATAGTGACCATAATGGAATAAACAAATTATGACAAGTAACTATAATGCAATATTCATAAAGTTAAACCTAGTAACCGAAATGCAATGTTCATAAAGTTACACCTAGTAAACATAATACAATGTTCATGAAGCAATGACTTGTAATTATAATGTTAATAAAATTAGGACTAGTAACCAAAATGCATCATTTTAACAATAGACTTGAATAAATAAACAAATAAAAAAGCTCTATAAAATATTATTTCAAATATACACTTAAAGTTTAAATTTTACGGTAAGTATGAACAGCAAATGTATTACTATTTTAATTTTTTTCTAGTCTAGTCAACCATATTATTACTGAAATATCAAAAGTGTCCATGTTAATACCATAATTTAAAAATAAAGAAAACTAAAACAAAGAACTAAAAAAATTGATGCAATAAAAAAAAATAAAAAAATTTGAAATGTTTTCATTATAAGTAATAAAACTCTTTTTCTGAATTTTCAGGAATTTGCAAAAAATCTACAAATATTGTATCATCAATTAAATAACACGATTTAATTAAATACATTACTAACCCATATTGCAAATTTGGGTACATCGCAAAAATCATTTAATAATATGCACTTTTCAAAATAATATGTATTTTGCAGACATACATATTATTTTGTGTCATAAGGCATGCATTGTTTTTAAGTTTGTTTGATTTTAAGTTTGATTTTTGTTTTTAAGTTTAAGTTTGAATTTGAATTTAAGTTTCTTTTTTGTGTTTTTTAATTTGAAAATTTTTTGTTTTTATACTATGTTTGACACTTTAGTTGTGCAATTAGTTGTTTATTGTAAAAATTTACCCATTTATTGTAACTGCGTTGTAACAACTGTTACTGTTGTGAATGCATTACAACAACTGTTTTAATTCTCAAGGTGAATGATACTCACATAAAATTAACACTAGTTATAAAAATATCATGAAGTTCGTTTTTATAATATGTTTACACTATACATACTTAGTGAGTATGCATTGTATATGTGATAAAATTATGTGGTTATTTTTTTAAATTTGTTATAGATGATTTTTAATTTTTAATAGATGATGATTTTGTTGAGAGATATTTTGGTGAGAGATATTCAGATATTTATTTTTGATGAGAGATATTTTGAAAATATTTTCAGAAAGTTATTATATTTAAAAAAAAACTCTTTTTTACATAATTTATTCATATGTTAAATATGTAAACCTAATTAAACCTTTTCGAAAAAAAATAAAGTTTAAATGTAGAAAATATATTTTTATTACAAAATAACTAAGCAGAGAGCTCGTTAAACAGATAACAGCTCAATAGTTCAAAGCAAAAAGTCTACTTAAACCACCAGATACAATTTTGGAAAAATCATTTGCAGAAAAAATAGACTATGGATAAAAACATATAAGAAGCAACCAATAAAAAAAAAAATCAACTAAGTCTTTTGGATATCATCAAATGTACTCATACAACCCGCATCATTTTGCAATAGTGCAAGATAAGTTGTTGCGCATGTTGATTATTCATGCCCTCTATTAAAAAAGTTTCTTGTACTTGATCTTCTTTGGCTTTGTAATCTTAAAAAGAAAGAGATAAAAAAAAAAATACAATTAATAAATTCAAATACAATTAAATGTAATAACAAAAATGTAACAAGAATAAGAGATTTAACTATTACCAACACATGTTGGTCAGGGGGTATACATGCCTATCTTGAGAGAATGGGAGCATGAAACATCAAACTAAGACATTTAATTATATCACTTAAAATAGCAAGGATAGTTTTATTGGATTAGTTTGCAAAAATTCTAAGTATGTAAATGATAAGGCAATAAAACATAATCATACTCCCCTACCAGATGGAGAGGAAATCCTAAAGCTTGATGAGAAAGAATTAAAAAGTTTATCTACTAATATTTATATTAGTTATAAACATGTAAATGCTAATCAAGAACTATGTACAAACCTTGCATATCTCAAACGTGGATCACTATCTTAATCTTGCTTTCAAACGTGGGTCACTATTTTAATCTTGCTTTCAAACGCGGATCACTATCTTAACCTTGCTAGCTTTCAAAAGGTTTGACTTTGATGTTTTTGTAGACAAGAAACCATAACCTTAAATACGTGAACTGGAAATCTTTTTGTTTATACAGGCACATTTTGTTTAAACTTGAAATTTTTAAGACACTTCCAGTCAATATGGTGAATATTATAACAAAATATACAAACTGGAACTTGGGAATCCATAGCGAGTGTATTCTAATTTCAGTCTTGACTAGCTCTAAGGAAATTGAAAGAAAATTTGGTGTTGAGATTTAACAAATCAGAGGAAATAACGAGTTAAGATTTTTCAATTCGCTTAATGAAAAATCAAATTTCTGAAATAATGGACCAAAAATTTGTTTTTTTTTTAAATTGTATTCTCAATTTTTTTTATCTCAGGACATAAAGCTCATTGTAATGAATCTCTGTAGAAAATTTGAAGTCAATTGGACAATTACAGCTCCTGCAATCTTTGCAAGAAAATTAGAGGTATAACACAGAGAAAAATGCATATAAAACTTAAATTATTAAATATAATTCTATGATATTATGAAGTTCTATATATTTTTAGACTCTGCAACAGTTACTGTTTAAAATAATGTCTCAAGAAAAATTGATTTTTCTAACTTTTTTAGCAGTCTACCACCTTCAATAAGTAGTTAGTGCATTTCAAATAAAATATTTCACAAAAACATTTTTTGATTAAAATTATAACTTTATAACTTATAAAGTTATAAATTTATTAACAAATTAAACAATATAAGGTGAAGTAATTTTTTTGTTGAAAAACAATGATGGCATAATTTTATTTTATGATAACAATAAAAAAAGATGATTGCATAAATTCATTTGTTCAGAGAAAGGTGAGGTTAGGAGGAGGGTGAGAGATAGGGAGAGGGTGTTCCCAGGCTATAATCATTAAGAAAATATAAATTCTGAAAAAACAAACTGATTTATTATTTGAATATTTATATATTATATGGCCAATTGACAAAAGTTTAAATATAAAATAATTTAGAGATAATACTTTTGTGAAAAAATAAAAAAATGTTTTTAATGATACATTACATAACTTAAATGTTTGATTCATATATTAAATAACTTAAAAAAATGTTCTAATGATATATTACATAACTTAAAATTGTTTAATGATACATTACATAACTTAAAGTGTCAATCTACCGAAACATTTTCAAATTAAATAAACACAAAAAAAAAAACTCAAATTAAAATTTAATTTTACATAGGAATATGAGTACACACTTTTAAAATGTTTTTTTTTTATAAACTAAGCAATGTTTTTTAGTATTAATGATGAAATATATTGCTCATCTATTATATAAATCTTTTAAAATCTTTTAAGTAATTTAAGTAACTATTTTTTTAAATAAATATCTGTTTCAAAAAATAATTATTTCAGTTATTTAAAAAGCAGTTAAAATTTTAAAATTTTTTATATCCAACAAAAAAGCAGCTAATATACAACATTAAAGTAGCTTACATCCAAATTGAAAATAAAGTTTAAAGCATCTTATCAAAGCTTAATTGAAATATAAAGTTTGATGTTTTATAAAAGTTTTATAGCAATATAAAATTATTTAAAGTTATTTACAACTTAATAATTTAAAATTATTTGAAAAAACTTTGAGATAATTTTTTTTTTTTTTAGATTTTTTTTTTTTTTTGAAATAATCTTTGAGATTTGAGATAATTTGTCATTATCTTACCTTTTTATCTAAAAATTTTAAAAAATTTTGAATTTTGAGTTTTTTAGCTTAAAATTTTTACAAAATATTTTTTCTCAAAACCACCTCTCAAAACCGCATCTCAAAACCGCATCGTTACAAGAGTCAAATATGACTCTTAAACTTCAGTAAAAAAAAAAAAAAGTTACTCAATAAAAAAAAGAGATTTAATAATATTCTTATAATCTATCAAATAAATAAAAAATATTGTTTTATTTTATATACACCTTAAATTAAAAAAACTTATATTTATTTTTA